TCTTTGACATACAGTCGTATTGTTTGTTCTGTACATGAAATATTGAGTTTGATACGAGAATTGACGTTGAGTGAATTAGTTTGTACTTCCTCAGAAATATTTATAAAATATTCTATCGGTTGTATACACTGCGGTTCTTGAGATAAATTCTCATCAGTTGAAGTAGCAATTCCGGTTAGAAATATTAAACACATAGTTCCATAGAACGTAAGCATCTGTGTACTGTGAATCTATATAATTTATTTTGTTATAAACAAGAAGTGATTTTCGCAAATAAACAACAACACATGATTCCGATTTATACACAATAAATATTACTTGTTTTTAGATATACTCGTCAAAAACAATTGTGTATGACCGTTAAAAGATATGTTTATCACTAAGTTGCTACGTCTTTATGTTTATCACATACGCACACACATACATTCACGTAAGTTGTCATGATTGCGCTGTTTTTCTCACTTTGACTTGTAGAAAGACGATTGAAGATTAAATTTGCCTACATTTTACAAGCGCGTTTCAATTATATAGTATGTCACACAGTGTAAGTTACGGCAAAGTAAAAACGATATTTTTAGATCGTAGTAATATTTATGTAATATTTGTATATAGAGTATATTACCGAGTAGTACGATTTGTACATTAAGTGATAAACTAAAGTAGATATAAATTTTTTAAATATAAAGAAGAAAATCGGATTCCATATTGTTTTAGCGTGTGATGAGAAATAAAAATTATAGTTTACAACAAATATAAATATTCAACACATACGAGCCTTCCATAACTTACCATATTTAAGATAATATTTCTATCTCTTACAATTATAAACACCACTTTATACGTGTTATCGCCGTATAAGTTGAANAACGTATTGCCAACAAATATCTGCAATCTGGCTTGTTCGAAAGGTGGTCTATGACTACAAGTCAGTCGTCCCCGTGAAATAATAAACACATATTATGATGTAAACGTCTGTAGTGAGGAAAACGACCTTACTTAGGTTGTAGTATACGTACGTGTGTATAGAATTCTGAGTTTCAAAATATGTATTGCAATACTGACAAACCATAATAAGAAACTGTTTTCTTACAGTGAGATATACATACATTTCGCCGCCTGAAAAAATCTTATATAATCACTTAGAGCATCACAGATCAAATTTCCCATATTGCATTTGCGCCGTTTGCAATTCTTGCTATCTCCATCAAGAAACACTCGCGTCTGTCCGCCCATTTTGTGTTCCAGATCGCCAATGAGTTTTCTCATGAAGCTTATGATTTTCCGAACATCTTCCGCCTGCGCAAAAAATAACAAACGTGATATAATTAGTATAATTATATTATTATAAAATATAATATTATTACAATTATATGAATATTAGNATACTTACAATATTTCCATTTGTATACATAAAAAAGAAAAAATATATAATGTACGTAAGTGTTGATTAAAAATTATGTATTTTCATCACACTGGAGTCGACAAAAATCGGATTCCACACTCAATGCGTGATTTCTCTTATTGTTAGTACTATTGGTAGAATGCACTTGACTTATGTGTTCTCTTTTCTACATGTATGCATGTGATACAGAAGAACTTTCGTTGCTTGAGTGAAAACTAAAAAATTGAAACTTTGCACACATTGTCACTTATTTCTTTCGTTTAGCAGAACAAATGCCGACATGTTATCTTGTCATTACTCAACATTGATTTGTTTTGTTCTAGAAAAAGAACCAATCACGTTTGATTGTTACAAATCAGCGCGTACTGCTGAACGCGACTAACCAGTGCAGACAATGTGCGCAAGCATTTAATTTTTCATGTTGCCCTGACCTAACGTTTCTAGTGCATTGATAAAAACCTGAAATTATAATCAAGACAAAAAAATGAATAATTGATTTGTTTTCTTGTAAATAAACATACGTAATTACTCGTAATGTACGTAACTCGTTGCGTATCGTACTTTAGGATTTACAAAGAAAAACTACAATTTCCAAATGTAACTGTTCGTATACTTGTGGTTCGTTCACACGGCAAACACGACTATGCCACGTGTTTGTGACATGAACATAAAGAAACGTTTCCTTTTGCATTGTTCGCAACTTTAAACAGTCAGTTTCAGCGCATCGTTACGATCGTAGGTAAGTATTGTGCTAAAGGTTTTCAAGTAGTTAGGACTATAGTACCACTCTCAAACTTTTACATTTAACGTATATATTTTTAGATGATTCCGTCTCGACCATATTTTACGTATAACTAATTCGAAATATAGAAAACGTATTTATTACCTACAAACTTACGTTAAAACACTTCATGTAGATATATGTGTATCAAAAGTGTCTGTAATGAACGACATTTGAACACGTTACGACGCTTCACTTGGCATATAACCATAAATTATAATTAAATTGTTGAGGCGCAAATATATGGTATACGATATGTTTTATTTCTACTTTTTTTATTTAATTTTATACTTTATACTGAACATTTCCGATTAGAAAAAAGATTTTACTCAAGTGTTTTCTTTTTTTTATGACGGCACTTCATTGGTGACCGTCTTTGAAATCGCAAACAAAGTCGAGAACAAAAGGTGCCAATACAAATTTGTATTTTGTGGTACATATTTATCACACTATGAAGACATATCATTTCTTCATGTAAGAATTAATATTTGTAATGTTAAAATTATATCTATTGTAATAAGTGTTATTAGTTTATCATTTATGTCTAGACGTATTAATTATATATTTCTCGTTCCGTATTTGACACACTTTTGCAGAATTTTTCTGACAGCTGTAATATATGCGCACGGTACGTTCGATTTTTCTGATACCTTTAGCATACGCGCACGTTTCGATTCGACAATGAACAGGCAATATATGTTATGCGCCACCAATAAATGTAAAAACGCAGGCACGTGTAGAAACTATATATTACAGTTACATAGATAACATCGTGGTTTTAACTTATTTTATATGTGTGTACCATTTAAAGTTTATTTTTATAGCTTTAGAGATTTTATCCACCTTTGATCGTTCGGTCGATCCGTGTGACAATTTTTACAAATTTGCTTGTGGCGGATGGTTACAAACTAACCGATCAAATACATCATTTCCAGTAATTAATTTTTTCACAGTGCTCAAACAAAAATTACACAATCAGCTTCGAGGTACAGTTTAAGTAAAGGTTTTGATTGTTTGATGTTTTACATTGTGTATGTTCACAAACAAAGGTATATACAACGAAAGTATAAACTTATGTCTAAGTACTATTAAATCGGTTTACATGAATTGGATATATTTATTTATAATTGATAGAAACTTGACAGCAATATTGTTATATTTATTCAAGTTGTTTGGTCAAAATCATTTACAATTACTAACTACCAAAACAATGTAATTTACAAAAGCTACGTCTGTTATTATATTATTAGAACATAGTATATAAACGTTATTTGAGTACTACGCAACATCAANAGAAAATATACAACTATAATATTCAAAAGAAACAGGAAAGTTATAAACTCTCTTAATAGCACATGAAACTGTAAACATAAATATTCTGTTGCTGCGTGTTGTGATACAATACAATGTGCGCAAACTGATAGTATTCTTACATTTTATATGAATCTATTTATCTTAATATTGATTATTTTTTATTTAACTATGATTAACTGTAAAAAAATTAAAAATTTAAGAAAAACAGATTGTGCAATAAGTGATACTTTACACGACTGTGTGTATATGTGACATTCTGTCAAATTTTCGTTGTCTACAGAAATTTTAAACGCATCGTTTAAACCAACCGATACTATGTCTTTCATAAAAGCGAAGCGTGTATTCGCGCAGTGCATGGATAAAGGTACGTGACACTACAATAATAAAAATATAATTATTACGACGTATACTTTCAACTTAAATACTCAATATAATAATTACAACGTATAAAATTAAAAAAAACGATTATTACTTTTTGGATGTTAGAAAATAATAAAGCATTCGGTATGAGTAACTTGAACGCTATTGTAAATAGCTACGGCGGATGGCCAATAGTTATGTCCCGTCATGAATGGAATGAAAGAAATTTGACTTGGCAAAATGTTACTACCAATTTGCATAAAAATAAAGTATTAAACATTGGTCTGTATGATATAGAAGTATCTGAAGATTTAAAAATGTCCAACAGTAACGCTATCTATGTAAGTATATTTAATTTTTATAACATACATTAACATATTGTAGGGATATTAAGATTAAATTGACGCACTTTATTTTAAGGAAAAAGTGTATTGATTAATTTATTTGAGAAAGTGATACACGAAAGCAATTAATAGTTTGACTCTACTTGATCTGTCGCGCTTCGATCTCTCGCGTCTCTTAATCCGTTCTTGTCGGCGGCTACGTCTTCTCTCTCGCTGGCTCCGCAAGCCCTTTTTCTCATCACCTCGGTTTTCGGCGATGTTATCGTGTTTTCTTCGCTTCAAAATTGTCGGTTGAGTCGTCAACCGGCAAACAACAAACATCGCAAAGATGAGAATCGTATATCTTGTCACCTTGACAATCGCGCAGGTAGACAAGTTTATCGTGAGATTATCAGTCGTTAACTTTGAAAACATACAAGAATAATAATACATACGGAAAATATAAGAGAATAACACATCTACAGAATATATAAAAAAAATAATACATATAAAACTCGAATTTCGCCGTTTGCAATGATTCTTCCTTACAATATATGATAGATATTATACTACATCGTATTTATTTTATTTGACCAAAAAAGTACTAAAAAGGACAAAAACAATTATGCGTTTGCAAATAACGATGCATACATATTAAAGATAACACCGTTCAGAAACACTTTTCAAAATGATAAGTACATATGATTTTAGATTTTTGGACCTGCTCTTCCTTTTTCTCGAGACAAAATAATACTCATAAACAACACTAAATGGCGGAAAGAAATGTATAGATCTACTATCGTAAACGTTGCGCACAATCTTATAACAGAAAATGGCGGAACAAGTAACATGAGTAAACTTACTCAAGATGCACTTGACATCGTACATTTTGAAGCGGAACTGGCTAATGTTAGTATGAACAATCACGATATTAATATTAAAAAATACATTTACTCATTGTTATGTATTAACTTCATAATATTTCAAATACCATTTTACATTATGAAATAAATTTCTGTTTCTATGTCACTATATACATATATATATATATGTGTGTATGTATGTGCGTGTGTGTATATTATACCATATATATATACATATGTGTGTTTTATACTGTAAGTTCTTCAATCACATTTTTTAAGAGCCGATTGCATCAAATGACTAGTCTTCTTGTACTATACTGCTTACAGTTGACAAGCACTGTAGACAGGATACTTGATACACTTACTTCGCTAACAATCCAACAATTGCAAGAAAAGTACGACAAGCAAAATCCCGGAATGATAGGAAAGGTGCGATAAAATACTATATTTCTTATATTTTTCAGTACATATTTTATATTCAAGAATAACTTTTTCATTACAGATTGACTGGCACTCAGCCATTCAGGATTTATTTGCATCAGAAAGAATCGCGATAAAACCATCTGAAAAACTCATTGTTGTAGAGTATGAATATCTTATCAATTTAGTACCGTTGTTAGAACGAACACCGTCACGTACTATTGGTAAAATTTTTTTAATAGTGAAGTTCAAAACATAGTGATACAGCGTAAAATACTACCTAAAGTATGTTATAAATTCAACGATGTTGAATTCTAATTGCAGTTAATTTTATAATATGGAGTTTAATTAGAAAGTTAACTGATTACATCAAACCACAGAAATTGAGTGGCATTGCTCGCGTCATAATAGGTGCAGACAATAACCAGCTAGAAGAAGACGATAAAAACTGGATGCCATGCATTAACTCGCTCAACTTAGATCATGCTATTTCGCATGAATATGTCAAGAAATACATATCGCTTGATAACATACAAGACGTAAGTTTGTTACATTTTAAATAGATACAATAAACGTACAATAAACTAAAATTAATATATACATACAATAAAAGNAAATACAATACATACACGTAAAATACACTTACTTCGTACTCAAAAACAAAATTCTTGTAGATCACAGAAATATATACAAATATTAAAAGCGTCGTTCATCAACAAATAGGAAACGCCACATGGATGGATGAGCCTACAAAAGAAGCGGCTGTCGAGAAACTTACGTCTATGAAACACGAATTTTTTAAGCCCGATTGGTACAGCGACGAAGCTATTGACAGATATTACGAAGACGTATGTACATCTTCTAGCAAAAAAGATTTCAAAGAAATACACTTTATTTACTATAATATGTTTTCTCTTCTTTTCCAATAAAGTAAGAGATGCTCAATAATAGTTTACACCCGTAATATTATATATTTATTTATTTATTTATTTACTTATGTATTTTATCGTGCTTTTATAGAAGCATTATTTTTATGTATTTTAGTTGAATATCGGTACGGAATATCTCGACAACATTATAAATATATGGAAATTCAAATGGAAAAAAATGATAAACTCGTTAAGGACACCCGTAGACAACACAAAGTACAAACTTTATGCAATCGAGTTTGTTATTATGTACTGCGAACTACACATGCTATATATATAAGCAAATTTGTATACATAACTTTTTATAATATTTATATTTTTGTTTAATAGATGGTTAAGCCGACCGACACAACTGCAAGCCAAATATAATATGGTATTCAATAGCATCGGTAAAAAATTTAAATAATAATGTACACTAAAATAGATTTATGGTTATGTTTATTATTACCTTTCCGTTTATTTTGTTATTTTTTTTTTTACGTAGTTCTCACTGCTGCCTTATTACAAAGTCCTGTATATGACCGAAATCACATTGCGTGAGTATTATTTGTATCATTTTTCGCAAACAAACGTTACAAAAAAACTATTCTCAAAAACTTTTAATCTCATTTACGTAATAGATTAATGAATTACGGAAAGGTAGGACATATCATTGGACATGAAATTAATCACGCCTTTGATGTCGACGGTAAGTAATTTTTCCTGGTATTGTGTCGAGAAAAAGAATCTTATTATACTAACGTTGAGTACAGGTCGTAACTTTGACAAAAATGGAAACATCATGCAAACATGGACACAAAAGTCTATCGATGAGTATGAAAATATAACGCAATGTTTTATTAAACAATATAACAAGTATCTGGTTCCAGGATTGGAACGTGAGAATATTCAAGTGAGTAAATTTAAAAAAAAGCATACAAATGCAGACGAACTTTTAATTTATTTTTGAGTTATTTAGAAGAATTTCGTTTCTTGACGTTTTAATGTATCTATAATTGTTTCATGGTTTTTTAGGTATACATAATTGGTTGTTTTAGGTGAACGGGCAACAGACGCTCGGAGAGAACACGGCGGATGCTGCTGGAATTGTTTCTGCATATTACGCGTACAAGAACAGAAAAGAAAGATTGAATGAAACAGAGTGGCGGCTGCAAGGACTTGAAGATTATAGCGAAGATCAGATCTTCTTCTTGGTGTATGCTCAAGTAAATACCTATTAAAGAATGTACATTGAGATGTATGGTAACTACGGTCAATGAACGGGCAGTAAAAATACATGGGCTATGGAAGTTATTAATATCATTTCTTCTTTTAGTTTTTCTGTGAAAATGCTCTGCCAGAAGAGATACAAAAAATCACTTCTGGCGTCCATTCTGTGAAGGAAATTAGGATTCGCGGCAGCCTTTCAAATTCTCGTGAATTCTCCCAGAGTTATAATTGCTCTGTGGGAACTCCAATGAATCCGGAGAAGAAATGTGCCCTTTGGTTCTAAACTGAAAAGACGTAAATGCCACATGCTTACAAATTTTGAACGCGATATTTTTTTGTATAGCAAACATTTTATAATATTTACAATCATTATATTTTTAGATATACACACTGACTTCTGCAAAAAAATTAGCATTTACGGTATAGTAACGATATTTTTGAAGAGAAAAAAATTGTATATTTATAAACGTATAATTTTAGACACATTTAGTATAAGTTCAGACTAAATGTAAGTGTATATTGTTTAGATAATTTACGATCTCTCAAAGAATAAAAAAACAAAAATTACAAAACGGTAGATTTCTTTATGTACTTTGCTGAAAATACTATTTGTACTTTTACAGATGTCAGTATGATATCTATATCTCATACAAAACATGAATGAATATTTATATGAAAAAAGTTATATGTAACTATTCGTTGAAATAAAATTTACGGGTTTCTTTACGCTTAGAATTCAAAAACAAACATTACATTCTTTTACGAATAACCCAAATATACATTCCAATAAGCCACTCAGAGAATAATAATGTATTACGTATAAGTATGTGTACTGTAGACGTTTTAGTATTTATTGTTCTTGTGCATGAATACAACAAATGTATAGAAACGAAAGCAAACGAAACATTTTCAAGACTGATTAAAGATTATTGTCTAAAAAATAGTACGTCTGTTGCTATTTGTATTATTATTCACAAAGTATAAATTTCTAACATGGGTTTTGCACATCGCGATGCGATTGCAGTGCATTTGCTTGACGTATAAGGGATTATGTATATTCGTCGATTCTGTGTGCTAAAAGCAACTCGCGGTGAAGATAGAAATTAGTATGTAATTCACGCGCGATCGACGAGTTCAATTTGACGAGGTAGCACCCCACCTTATCTGCGTTATATTTATCAAAAACGTATTGTTTACAAAAGTCTTCCTTTATAAACTTACAAAATATTATATATGCTAAATTATATTTTTTGTTTTTTAATTTGTTTTACAAAAAAAGTGATAAAAAGTAGCGCCAAGTAAACTCTTGTACATTATTATAATGACAAACAATATACAATAGAGAACAATATAAAAAAAACTACAATGTACAATAACATATTTCTGTCACTAGTAAGACTACGCCTTATCTTTTTTCCGTTATTATATACTACAAAGCACTTTTTCTCTAAAAATGTAACAAATTGTAGATTTGCAATTTTGTTTTTGAATCAAAAACCGTTATATTAATTTCTTATTACAATTATCTTTAAAATTATAGATGTTTTAGATATTTGATGCACATGATGATCATAACACTGACGACATTACATTTTACGTTAGATATGACATTATGATATTCACAATAATTACACGCAGATCTCTGTAAAAATGTAGTGAATAATATACTTTTGTGACTAGTTATAATATAAATTTTGTTATTTTTGTTTCAAACGTACGCAATACTTGCGTAGCACCACGCTTAAGCGCTCTTATGTACATACAAACAGAACGCGTTACGAGACCTTATTCTTCATACTTGATTGACAATCGAGTTCCTTCTAGTCGCGCATAATGCGTTCTATCTGTTATGATGGATGTTGTGGAAAACGATCTATAGGTACTCAAATTATATTCGATAAATATACAAAGCGTTTGACAATTATTGTAGCTTCTTTTGTAGACAAGTAGAAGGAGTAAAACTGAGTCGAAAAGTTTTATACTATTTTACGCGATTCGCAATAATTACCAGAATCATAATTAAAAAAGATCCGCGAATAAGCATGCATCGAGCTGTTTTGCGTGCGATGAAGTTGAAGTATTCTATAAATATACTTTCGAGCAACTGACGATAAGTAACAACAAATCTACGAAAATGTCCTGCTTCATTGTAACACATTTTTTTTATACACAGAAAAATCCGGTTAATCGGAAAAAAACGTTATATTGCAAAGAACTGTTCCCGATAAACTAACTTGAAATTAGTCCGTATTGATACAAACTAAAAATTTGATAAGAAACTCACATAGTTCACTTTTCAAATACACTTTTTATTATAAGTACTTATGTAATAACTATTTCTGTTTAAATTGTGTGTGTAAGTAAAGATAACTAAACATAATAAATTCTACCACATTAAATTCGGCTTACATTCTCTTTTTCTGTTTTTACATACAAAAATACATAAAAAATACATAAAAACAATTAACATACATAAAAAAAAATTACGAGTACCATATTTCGTCATACATATGACTGTTTCATATAGATTATTGATAAATGTTTCTTTTTCATATTTTTCATAGTTTTATATACTTACATATTATGTGTTTTTCTATAACGTGTGCTTTATTTGTTCATTTGTGAACACTTAATTAAACTTAAATTTATACTTATTCGCAATTATGTAAGATGAAATATAGTGTATTATTAGCATTCATTTTACCAAAAATTTAATTTCATTTTATGATCATTTTGCGAAGTTTTAAATGTATTAAAATTTGTAATTTTCACATTTTAAACATAATTAATAAATACTTTTTTGAGCCATAAAATAAATTAAATCTTGATTTACAAAAATAACTTTAGTATTAAAAGCAATACATGGATTTTATTTTCTATTTAAATTAAAAAGCAATGTCTATCCAAACACTTCGTAAAAATCATTGTTACTGGATTAGTAATGTAGTAGATACTCTGAGGTATATCCCGAATGTCGTGTTTAAATGTTGGCAAAAAAAATATACAAATTATAAATATGATAACATCTTGTATACTTTTGCAGAAGTGTAATAACGTTGAAAAATATACTTTTATAAAAAAAACAAAAATTATTACAAAAGAAAACAAAACAAAACGTGTAAGTACGTGTAAAACATAAAAAAAAGGGATTTAAACACGTAACAAGTATTGAACAAATATAACAATTTTAATTTTAGAAACTTAAATTTCTAAAATAATTTTTATCTTTTATTTAACAACTATATTCTATTTATAAAACTTCCTCTCACTGTTTCTAGATTATATCTGTTTATCAAATTTGTAACCATCACTCGTACAGTCTTAGTAATCTAACACCACCTTGTAATAATAATATTGAATATAATAACTTGTACCTTACTCAGCATTATATATGTGATTTTTTTACTGTGCTAAACTACATTTATATAACTTACTAATATATTTTCATTACATACATACATGAAGTTACGTAATCAAATAAAAAAAAGATTGTTTTACAGTTATAGCTATATTAAACATTTAAGTTCACATAACGTACCGTTTCGGAATCTTCATCTGAATATATGTGGTTAATACTAAAATTCACAACTGCAAGTAGGCCAACCGGTCTTTTAAATGAAACACATATAACAAATAATTAGTATAAAATCTTTCTTAGTATTTACATTATACTCTTGTAAGATATAAAAAACCACAGTACATAAATTGAATAAACATAATATACATATACAGATATAAACTACATACAAGATATATAGTGTAAATTATACATATTGTACATACAGTAATAAGGTAATACAAAAATTCTTTCGCTTATTATTTCTAAGTAATAGGCGATAAGTAGACAAAAAAATGATAAGTAACTAAGAAAATGTTCTTTTGGTTGTAACACACAATTTTATTCACAAAACAGTAGAAATTCAGAAGAAAATGTTAGATAGCATACAAATGTTTTCACGTAACCTTTCTTGAAAACATTGCGCAGTGATAAGAACTAAAGAATTGTCACAAGATAGTACAGTTTATATTGCAAATACTCTTTTTATTATAAGATTTTGTCATATATATTTTTGTTTGTACATATTAAATACAAAAACAGAATAAATTTTAAATAACATAATAAAATCTAATTAAAGTATCGGTTATCAGGTTTCACATACATAAAAAAATTATTACAAGTACCATATATTATTTTATCATACATACTACTGTTTGATATAGATTGCTTCTGTTTTCTACATTTCATAGTTTTATATATCCAGATAATAATGTTTGCGTGCACGGTTTGCGCGCGTTAAATATGTAAATCTTATATGTGATTTGTCTAAATTTTGTTTGTGAACATATTTCATCGCGCACACGTACATATTGCGCACAAGAAACTATTTAATATCCATCGAATATACCAACAAATAACTGAGCAAATTGCTAATGTATTGTATTATTTACTCTTAATTTGACGGTGTGTTACATACTTAGAATGAATAAGTCGTTCTTGTGTATGATGACAATATATTTATCACGATGTAAACGTCTGTAGTGATGAAAACGACCTTACGTAGGTTTTATTACATGTACGTGTGTATAGAATTTTGAGTTTCGAAATATGTATTTTTACTATTTAGTAGACAGTCATTATTAAATGTTTTTTTAAAAAGCCCGTTCTACATTGATTGCAACCGCAAACGCAAAAACCAGGTCTGATAGAATTGACTAATCGTATTGATCAAATCAGCCAACTGACCAGCGTGATTGGTCAATTTTACAAAATCTATACCTTGCGTTTGCGCTTGCGATCAATGTAGAATGGGCTTTATGCAAAAAATCTGTGCTTCGACCTTCAGGCTTCTCTCTGGTTTCAGCGGCACGTAAAAATGCACCTTAAGACATAAGAAAATCAACTAATCCAACTTTTCGTTTTTATCCCTACTTCTTGTTCTAGAAAGCTTTGATTGGTTGATTCTCTTATGTCTGATGCGTTATGCATTATGCAAAAGTCTGTGCTACGTCCTTAAAGATTCTAACCTAATTTACTAAAGAATGTCAATTCAGCAATGAAAATTGGGCTCGCAAAATTCGCTCTAACGCGTAACGCTCTATGCGTTAAAAAAACTGCATAAAAAAAAAGAACGTCAATATAGTCAGATGTGCAGTGGGTTAAAGTTTATAGTTAAATCATAAGAAAGCTCAATTTGAGAAGAATTTGTTGCTTTGTTTTTTCTTCTAACTCAGTAAAGAATAATTAAGGTACAGTGACAGTCGTATTATAAATATTATTATTGTAAAGTTTATGTAAATACGTAAGTTGCAAACCAACTTCTTCGATACTTTTTTAATTTGTATCTTATAAAACAAATATGCTTGTAAGTTTCTTTTTTCATAAAATATTTGCTTGTATTATGTATGAATAATTTTAATTACAGTAAAATGGGAGAACGAAAGGGAACAAATTTGTACTATCCACCGGACTATGATCCTCGTGTCGGTGGTCTCAATAAGTTTATGGGCACTCACGCATTACGTGAGCGTGCCCGTAAACTTCATATGGGTATTTTGATCATACGATTTGAAATGCCCTACAATATATGGTGCAATGGATGCGGAAATCACATTGGTATGGGAGTGCGTTACAATGCGGAGAAGAAGAAAATTGGAATGTATTACAGCACACCGCTTTATCAGTTTCGCATGAAGTGTCATCTGTGTGACAATCATTTTGAGATAAAAACTGATCCTGCAGTAAGCATTTTCATTAATAATAATCAAGTTCAAGAAACACTATGATTCCTGTGACAGTTCCTCCAAAGTATTTTGTTGATTGATTTCAGAATCTCGACTACGTCATAGTAAGTGGCGCGACGCGTCAAGAAAATCGATGGGATCCTAAACAAAATGAACAAATAGTACCTGAGACAAAAGAAGTATCTCACAGATTATATGATGATGCTATGTACAAATTGGAGCATGGTGTGGAAGATAAAAAAGTAGCCAAATCTCGAGATTCAGCATTGGAGAGTGCAATAGCTTTAAATGAAAGTATCTGGAAAGATGACTACAATTCCAATTGTGCAGTGAGAGCTTTATTTCGGGTATAATAATCGAATGTATTTCATATAAGTACATATATATATATATTTGTGTGATTTTACACAATACTTAATTACTAATAATAAATTTGGTACTTATATTATAGGAGAAGAAAAAGGAACTCCAGAAGAAGCAGTCTGAAAATCATGCGTTATTGAAAAAGACTGGGCTAGATATTGATTTGATCAATGAACACGAGGATGACATCAAATTAGCTAAATTACTTACTCATAGAAAAGGTATAGCATTTATTTATTTAGTACTCACTTATCACGCATTTATTAATCATCCAAGACTAAACTTCATATAGTATATAAATATATACAATATTTATAAAAACATGTTTCTTCTAGATCCAAAGAAAAAGGGAAGTACAGAATTGAAACGATTGGTCTCGATTGTGAGATTTAAAAATAATAAAAAACGGATATCTTCCTCTTCAAATAATTTATTAAAGATACGAAGTCAAGAATCACTAAAAGTACAGGAAGTAACGGATACCGCGACCACTTCAAAAGCCAGTAATAGTTCAAGCACATCTCTAGTAAATTATGATAGCTCTAGTAACGATAGCGATAGTTAGTATTTCAGATTTGTTATTTATATATCTGTTAAGTGTTTTTATGTATATTTACGAATAAAGTGAGATATCAAAGTTTCTAGACTACCAGGAATAACAACATGCTGTACACACGTATTAATTTTTTTCCAAGATTTTCATAAAAATATATTTCTGGAGAATTTGATATCGTGTTATCATAATTTTGATTAAATTACATTTGGAAGAATATCTTATTTCAAAAAGCAAAAGAAATTATTATTACACCAATTTTTCTAAATTTATGATATATATACATGATATTAACTCACATGAGGTCTTAAACTGTAACATACATTCCTATAAATACATAACAGAGAATAAAATCTTATAATTATTGAAGAAATTAGTTTTTACATATCAAAGTGTACGAAGAATAGATTTATTGTTTTATATATATCATTTTAATTCATATCTAAACGTCGATGGTAGGTTGCTGCTCGACAACTACTGTTGTAGTTTGCTGTGGCAGTTTTCTCTTTACCACATGAATCTTCTTGTTAGAGAGACATATAACGTAGCAATGATCTTTGTACTTAATCGATATTTTGTCAAAAGATTCATGTGAAGAAAATGCCTTGGGATCGACATTGTTTGTCAATCTAACCAATTTACTAATTATATTTGCCACTCTTTCGTCATTCTCTAACTCCCCTCCAGACTGCAATATAAGGGATACTTTATTTGTTGTTACAAAACAAGAAGACATTGTAAAAACCTAGTAGTTGTTTTTTACCGTTAATACAGCACCATCTTCTGTTAAAACCAAGTATCCAGTTTGATCAGGAATGCGCTCCAGTGCCAACATTTTCTACACAAACAATAATTTATGTAACATGTAATATCTAGATTATTTAAAATAATTAATACAAAATGGAGGAAAATAATTACGATATATAGATTAAGGTTAAGTTAGATTGGGTTATGTTAAGTTATATATAACAGTCAAAATGATATTATATAAAAGAATACAAAATAATAACAAAAAGTAAAAAACTATGGAAAACAAACTTAATAGTTGTTACTGCTAAATACTGCTAAACCATGTCAATAACACAATGAAAGAATGACTATTTGTCCGAAAATAATTATAAACACTTCGCTTATATTGCAATTTTTCATCTTATTTGTGACATTTGTCTTGTTCTAACCTAGACCTAGGCAACAAAAACAAACAATGGGAAGTAAAACAGAAAACCGCACTCTTACGTTTGATGATAACGCCAATAGACGGCAAAATGTCATGCGACAGCTCAAATTAAATACCCTCGTTGATGACAAGATAACAATAAAAACAACACTGCGGTTTTTAATTCACGGGAAAAAATTTGCAAACGCGACAACGCACAGCAAGTATTGCCATATATTAGAGAGAAACCTGAGAGCGACCAGGTCCTTAAGAGAGAGTGCGTAATCACTTTTCCGCACCGTAAACTAGCGCATGTCCACAGGTGGCACACATTGGAACTACGCAGCCAGTCCACGAGACATGTCGGTGCGCTATGTCCACAGCGTGCGGTTCTATTCTGTGCTATGTGGACGACTTTAAATGGTCACTTTCTTTAAGTACGTGAGTATATTCGAGAGCGTGAATTTGATTTTTTTGAAATTTAAAATGACCGATCTCGTGATGAAAAGATGAGAAAGGAAAACAAAAAAGGATAAGAAAAAAACATTGCAACTTTCCGTATAACATAAATGTGATATACAAGAAAAGATGTGATAGTCAAGAAAAGAATATTAGTTTAGCGAGAACATTAGAATTCGTGGAGTGTAGTCACATATCATCTCCTTTCACATCATCATATGCTGCTCTGTGCTTTATAAATTTTATTTTATTTTCTTAAAAACACTACATATATAGATACAAAATACACAAAACACCATGTACATTATACAAAGTGTTTTAACGGTACACAAATATAATGTCTGAAAAGTTGCAATTCCAAGGATACCTATTACTCTGCTTTATTACAATTCTTTATCAATGCGTTTTCGAGTTTCAAGCTTAATTTTACAATTTTTTATACATTATAATAGAATACATTAATTTATATATATTACATATAACAACATAATACAATATTTTATACAATATACATAGTATATATAATTCTACCTACCTATCTTAAACATCTGACATATCTTAAACGTATACTAGCCTCATTAATTAGAATTAAGGCTGCATGACAGCCTTGATCCTAATTGTACATTTTTATTTCTTCTACCTATCTATCTCTGATCTATACATATTTCCTACCTATCCGGTCTAATTTCTTTTGTACAAGCGCTTTGTAGATACTTACATCCCTACCTACACAGATAATTATCTACCTACTTTGGAAAGTTTTAAAACCTATCAAATATTTTACGCGAGGGGCAGTTGTTTTAAAATAAAAAAAAAATTATTTTAAATTTATTTTAGTCTCCCGACCGAGTTTTTCTATTTTATTTGATTTAACGAAAGTATAACATATCTTACATTATACTCAATGTAAGATATGTTATACTTTCGTTAAATCAAATAAAATAGAAAAACTCGGTCGGGAGACTAAAATAAATTTAAAATAATTTTTTTTTTATTTTAAAACAACTGCCCCTCGCGTAAAATATTTGATAGGTTTTAAAACTTTCCAAAGTAGGTAGATAATTATCTGTGTAGGTAGGGATGTAAGTATCTACAAAGCGCTTGTACAAAAGAAATTAGACCGGATAGGTAGGAAATATGTATAGATCAGAGATAGATAGGTAGAAGAAATAAAAATGTACAATTAGGATCAAGGCTGTCATGCAGCCTTAATTCTAATTAATGAGGCTAGTATACGTTTAAGATATGTCAGATGTTTAAGATAGGTAGGTAGAATTATATATACTATGTATATTGTATAAAATATTGTATTATGTTGTTATATGTAATATATATAAATTAATGTATTCTATTATAATGTATAAAAAATTGTAAAATTAAGCTTGAAACTCGAAAACGCATTGATAAAGAATTGTAATAAAGCAGAGTAATAGGTATCCTTGGAATTGCAACTTTTCAGACATTATATTTGTGTACCGTTAAAACACTTTGTATAATGTACATGGTGTTTTGTGTATTTTGTATCTATATATGTAGTGTTTTTAAGAAAATAAAATAAAATTTATAAAGCACAGAGCAGCATATGATGATGTGAAAGGAGATGATATGTGACTACACTCCACGAATTCTAATGTTCTCGCTAAACTAATATTCTTTTCTTGACTATCACATCTTTTCTTGTATATCACATTTATGTTATACGGAAAGTTGCAATGTTTTTTTCTTATCCTTTTTTGTTTTCCTTTCTCATCTTTTCATCACGAGATCGGTCATTTTAAATTTCAAAAAAATCAAATTCACGCTCTCGAATATACTCACGTACTTAAAGAAAGTGACCATTTAAAGTCGTCCACATAGCACAGAATAGAACCGCACGCTGTGGACATAGCGCACCGACATGTCTCGTGGACTGGCTGCGTAGTTCCAATGTGTGCCACCTGTGGACATGCGCTAGTTTACGGTGCGGAAAAGTGATTACGCACTCTCTCTTAAGGACCTGGGGGTCGATTCCGTATCACGCAGTGTAGTGAAAATTACAAAAGTGAGCAAATTTACTAAAATATCTATGATCTTATTGGTCAACAACTAGTAAATTTGCTCACTTTTGTAATTTTCACTACATTGCGTGGATACAGAATCGACCCCCTGGTCGCTCTCAGGTTTCTCTCTGCGTAGACTATCGCCCTCTTTTTCAGTCAATTTCGATATTTCGAGAATCGCAGTTCGATATATTTCGAATGTAGCATACGTCAGTATAGAACGCACGCACGTAACCAGCATGTTGTCTTAAGCCCCTTGCACAATGGACGGAATAGCGATAGCGATAGAAATAACAAAAGTTTTAAAGAGTTTATATTTAAAAATAAAGGTAGGAACAGCGGAATCTAACATACAAAACTACACATGTATCAATGCAGATCAGAAAATCGGAATAAGCAATAGCGATAAAATTTCCGACAAGTTGGAATTCTGTGTTAAAAACTGTGTTATTTCTATCGCTATCGCTATTCCTTCCATTGTGCAAGGGGCTTTATAGTTTTTGTCGTAAATTGTAGCGTTTAAAAGGTAAACTTTTCTTGTGCGAAAATTTATCGCGAGTGTTTTACGAGAAGTAATACAACACAACGAGTAATACAACGTATCAGCTGGGTCAGGTAATTGTGCATCTGAATGTGTTACGCATGTGTGTTTATTTTTCTGTTAAATCGGATTCATGGTTAGGTTGTGACCAAATGTTATGGTCCCGATTCGATAACAAAACAAAGCCACATGTTTTTGAAGAACCACTGTTCTTAAGTTGACAGATAGATTTTTTTTTTTCCGATCATTAAATATCGTTTGTATGTATATACACAATATGCACAAAGATGAAAAGAGATGGCGAGTGCGCGCAGGGCAATTGCGCCGAACTATACGCTTGCGCACCGCCAGTGGTTCTCCGCGGGCGCGACACTATCACGCACCTCACATCGTCATTCGTCGCTCGTCTCTCGAGCGCGCTTGTCGATGTTTCGGACGTAAAGGGCGCCGTATCTCTTTCGCGCGCCGCGAAACCACGTGGTACTGGCGCGCCGAATCACATTCGATTCTCGATCGGCGTTTCGAGAGTGGCGCAAACTTCCGTGTGCTGTCGATCGCACGTTTTCTTGATCACCCGCGGCTCGATTTCGCACGAATTAGAAACGGGTGACAAACACGCGAACAATCAGTCGAGTTTGATACTCGAGTGCGATTTCTCGAGGCGGTGAAATGCCGGTGAGGAGCAGCTATTGATTCCCCCCGTCCAAAAAAAGTGCATGCCAGTGATATGTCCAGGAGGAAGCAGGCGAAGCCACGATCTCTCAAACGTAAGTTGTAGTCATAGCTACACATTTAACGTTCTTGCACAATTTTCTGATGCGAATCTACTTATTGGTTATTTTCTAAACTTTTCGTTGACAATTGATGAACAGTAAACAGAAAACGGAAATAGTAGTAATGGATAGTATTGCAAATGATATATCGCAATAGATAATTTTGCAAATGAGTAAATTTTAGTTAACATTTTGAAAAATTGTCAAGTAGTCTGATTTTACGAGGGAATTTGACGTATTTTCTTTATATATTTATAAAAAGTAGTGTTCTAGCATATTAAAATAATTCCATATTATGGTTAATATAAAATTTGTAAAACTTCGAAGAAAAACGCGAAGTAAAACAAAAAAAGCGTATATTTGTATAAATATTGCAAAGCCGACAGTTTCCTAGCGTCAACGTGTCGGAGACGTTGTATGTGTGAATACGTGTGATCGTTAATCATGACACTGTACAGTTTCACATTTTTCTTTAACACATTAACGGCATATTGTGACGAGATTATCGGTCTATCTCATTTTACACCATTGGGGCGTAATATATTCCTCACACACGAGGTAGCTATTTTGATCGGATTCGTTTATTTCATGCCGAAGATGATTTATACCGAAACGTTCGAATTTAAAAGTGTTATTTGCTTCGCAGACACCTCTGAGTTCATTAAAAAAAAAAAAAAAAATGCTCTTGATAAACATTGTCCCGTGTTGAATATTTGTTTTGACTTTTGCAATATCATGCGAAACCTTTTTACTGCGTATGGACACGTTTGGAAAACAAGAAAGCTTTTGCGCGCGATAAACACGGAGAGAAAAAAAAATTCGAGCGCGACGAGAGCACGTAGATTTGCCCTGTCCCTAGGTGACGACGGTTTTACGAGATTAAGGATCATGAGCTCTCGCATTTGTGTCGCAAAGACACGCGAATAATAGCGAAGTTCTTCGCAAGATGTTCGTCCGTGTGAGCGCGTCTTTGTGAAAGGTGAAAAAGAAGTTGGGCTAAAAGGGTGCTTCGCGAAAACTTTCCGACACGTGCAACCGTAGTCCGACATAAAAGTAATGTACGATATGAGTGGCAAAAGCCACCATTGTTACAGAAACTACGCCGTAACATTACAGTAATTAAGAACGACTGAATTATCCGACTTCTAACTTTAAAATGAAACTTTTTGCATTTTAATAATAATATGTTACATTGATCTTATCTCGCTCGACGCGTTAATACAGGTTGAATCACGATTCGTAATATGCTTGAAATCAGAATTAATGTAAAAATGGGTGAAATGAAATGAAATGCAGAATAAACTTTTTTCGCGCGTTATATAAACTTTATTTTCAGAAAATATGTATTAAAATTATTAATTTTATTTTCAATAATATTTTTAATACACAATTATATATATATATATATATAATTTACTAATTAAATTAATA